TTGAGTGAAATCGGATATTTATATAATCCAAGTTGGTGTACTCTTTCTTTCTCGTATTGAATGGTAAAATACTGTAAGAAATACCAAGCATCTCGCCATGTGCTTATTGTAACGACCCGATCGGTCGTTTTGAGCTCTAGCACGTTGTTCAGCAGTTTGAGGTCATGAGCAGCTTCATTTAAGGTATTAGGACTTGTGCGCACGGTCGGAATTGAATTCCGGGAAGTTCGGAGTTGATTTGGAAAGAGAATTCTAATTTCGAAAGCTTTAAGCTGAAAGAATTGACTAAGATTGGATTTTTGAGTAAACGACCTCGGAATCGGGATTCGAAGGTTCCAGCAGGTTCGTATGATGATTTCGGACTTGGGCGTATGTCCGGATCGGGTTTCGGAAGACCCGGGAACGTTTCGGCACCTATTGTGGAAGTTAGCCTTTTGGAGGAATTTCATAAGTTTGGGTTGAAGTGCATTTCAGTGTTATCAATGTCCGTTTGGGATTTCCGAGTCTGGGAATAGCTCCGTATGGTGATTCTAATGTTGGGAGCGCGATCGGAAGTGAATTCGGAGGTCCGTGGGTCATTTTGGAGTCATTTGGCTAAAGATAGAAATTTGAAGGTTTTTGAGAAGTTTGACCGGAAGTGGACTTCTTGATATCGGGGTCGGAATCTAATTCTGGAAGTTGGCGTAGGTCCGTAATGTCAAATATGACTTGTGTGCAAAATTTGAGGTCAATCGGGCATGATTTGATAGGTTTCGGCATTGAATGTAGAAGTGTGAAATTCTAAAGTTTATTAAGCTTGGATTGGAGGTCGATTCATGATTTTAGCGTTGTTTGATGTGATTTGAGGTCTCGAGCAGGTCCGCGTTATGTTTTGGGACTGGTAGGCATGATTGGTTGGGGTCCCGGGGGCCTCGGGTGGATTCCGGATGGTTAACGAATCGAATTGAAATTCGGAGGAAGAGCTGAAGCTGTTGCCTTCTGGTATAACCGCACCTGCGAGACTTGGGCCGCAGGTACGGAGCCGCAGAAGCGGCTACGATGTAAGGCCCCGGAAAATTTCACTAAGTAATCTAGGATTTCGTGATGCCACGTAGGCTAATTATAACATTTTATGTGATATTAACATGGTGTGCATCAATTTGGATCTGGTAAACGAGTGTGTGAGTCATATACTAAGTAAGGTGGTGTGAGGCCCGTGAAAGATTTTCACTATGAACCCGAAAGGTCGTAGTGCCAAAAAAGGAATATGTGTTAGAGATGTGTAATTCGGACCCTTTTGTGCTGATCTCTGCATTTAAAAAGCAAGAATCAAAATTTTCCAGAAAAGTGCAATTATGCGGTCTAGAATGCGGTCGCATACCAGGTATGCAGACCGCATATCTGCCGCAGAGTGAGTCAGTGTGTTGGTAAAAATTGAAGTCAACTATGCGGTCAATTATGCGATCGCATAATCAAAATGCGGACCGCATAGTCGTCGCATAATTTTCTTGGGATTTTGTGAAGGTCAGTTCAGCGGTGCACTTTGCGACCGCAGAACGTGAATGCGGACCGCATTTCTGCCGCAAACTCAGTCAGCGTGTCCAGTTTTTTGGGAAGCATTTTGTGGTCCATTATGTGGACCGCATGTCGACTTTGCGATCGCAAATGCGATCGCAGATCTGACTCGGGGCTCCAATTTTCTAAATTTTAAACCCGACCCCCTATCGTTATATCCGATGTAATAGCTCATTTTGAGCATATTTCCCGATGCTTCTAGAGTAAGAGAGAGGGGTCTAAGAGAAGGAAAGTGCTTCTCATCAAAATTACTCCAAAACCTTGCTAAAACATTGAAAGTAATCAAGTGAAGGCACCTAAATCTTCATCTCAAAAGGTAAGACTTCATCACCTCAGCTCTTATTTTTATACTTAGCTATAAGGGGTCATTAGTGAGGTAATTCATGGGTATAAGAATGTATTTCTTGCATGCATATCAAACCATGGAGTATTGGGAGGTAGTGAACTAACAAGAAAGCTGTTGGGGTAAAGAATGATAGAAATTTCTCTCAAAAAGGGCCTAAGATCACAATGCACCCTTAGTGTTTGATAATATGCTCAAACAAGCTAGAATCTCAATCTCGTCTCTAATTCTCGGTTCGATTTGTATTTCTTACTCAATAGATCGAAGTGCTAAGAGTTCCGGAATTTTGTAAAGATTAAGGAGAGCTATATTGAGGTATGTATGGCTAAAACCCCGTCTTTTAGAAATTGAGCTTCGTCGGTGTTTGTGTGAATACGGTAAGATTAAAGTTGAATTGTTAAATTGATTATTGTTCCACATGAATTTGGGGTTGCTACCTTATATTTGTGAAAGATGTATTCCAATATGATCAATATGCTATTCTTGGTAACTTGAAAAGGGTGCAAGGAATGTGAATCATGTATTGAAAGGCTTAGACAATAAATTAAGATTGAAGAATGTGAAGTATGTGCTAAATTGCCTAGATTTCAAGTCAAGTTTAAATTGTGATTATTGTGATGAATCATGAGAATTCCCCTCTATGCTTGTAAATTGAATTTCTCTTGTGTATGCCCATTATCTTAAAATTGTAAGTTTCTTGTTGAAAGTGAAGGTGATGTGGAATGTGAGTTGTGAAATGCGTCCTAGTGCCAAGAATGATGTGATAAGTTGTGGCCCCAAGTGCCTATGAAATGATATATATGAAACGAAATGATTAATGAGAAAGGAACAACGCCTTGGCAAGGCGGCCTAGCCGATCGGGCCGAGATCGGACTCCGCTCAAGATAACAGTGGTCTTGTGAATGAATTCCGGAAAAAGGAAAATGAGATTGTGATTGAAGCGCATGCCTCAAATGAGGCAACCTAGCCGATCGGGTCGAGATCGGACTCCGCTCCAGATAGTGGTGGTATTGTGAGCAATGATGAATAATGTGAAATGCCCCAAACTAAAAGCTATGGAAATATAATGTGAAAGTTGTACGATTCCTTTCTTTGATAATGTGGTGATTGTTTAAAGTGTCGAGTTATACTTATGATTTCTATTCTTGTATGAAAGTTCTTTCTAACTAGATGGTGTTTAGTTATACATACTAGTGCTATTCGATGGCACTAACGTCCCTTTTGCTGGGGGCGCTACGTCTTTAAATGGATGTAGGAATTTCTATGGCAGGCAGTGTTGGTCGCAGCTAGTGCCGCATCACCCCTTCAGCTGACTTGGTGAGCCCCACTTCGTTTCGGGGTCCTGTTTCATCTGTTTATTATGTACTTTATATTTGAGGTATAGCCGGAGCCTTGTTACCGGCATTTTCATATTACATTACTCTTCAGTTGTGTTTAGAGGCTCCGTAGACAGGTTGTGGGTAGTGTCAGGTATTGGAATTAAAGTAGAAATATTGATGTTTGGCAAAGATTTATAAAACTTGTAATATTTTGATAATTATGATTTAAGCTGCTAATGAAAATGAAATGAAAGTTGTTAATGAAATACTTACTAAGTATGATTAATGGAGTCCATCTCCTATTTAGTCATGGATTAGTTTGGGTAGAGTGAAACGTAACAGGCTTTCTCATTTGGGTTTATTCGGTTGAACGCCGGTCGTGCTTCTCGGATTTTGGGGCGTGACATAAGAGGGGCGCAGATGCGGTATTTGGCCAGAAGTGAAGAGACAGCAGACGCGGTCATGTAGCCGCAGAAGCGGGACCGCAACTGCGGTAGTTGAGGCGTAGAAGCGGAAAGGGGAGCCTGCTGAGAAACCGTAGGAGTGGTAGAGGGGCCGCACCTGCGGAACCGCAGAAGCGGTCGTGTGACCGCAGGTGAGGAAATGCTGGAGGCAGTAAGGTTCTTTAAATCAGGGGTCTTGGCTATTTTCTTCCATTTTACTCTTGTTTGGGCGATTTTTGGAGAGCTTCAAGAGAGGGATTTCATCATCAAACATGAGGTAAGTTAATTCCACCCCTTGTGAGTTAAATACATGATATTATTACGGATTTGAGCAAGAAAAATTAGTAGAAACTTGGGGTTTTGGTGGAAAGACCTAGGATAGGTATTTTTGGATTTTGACCACGATTTTGGGCATGAAATTGAGAGTAAATTATATATTTAAGTTCGTGAGGTTATGGACAAACTTTATCTTCGAAAAATTTCGGAATCCGGGCACGTGGGCCCGAGGGCATTTTTGCCAACTTTTCGATCGGGGTTAGGAATTGTTATAAATTGGATTATTATGAGTAATTGAGCATATATTAATGGATTTGCATAATTATTGGCTAGTTTTGGAGCGTTGTGCATCGATTGGGTCTTGGGAAGGGCGTGGAATGCCGGTTATGGAACTTCGGAGCGAGGTGAGTCTCCTTTCTAACCTTGTAAGAGGGAATGGTCCCCATAGGTGAGTTAATTGGTTATGTGCTCCTATTTGTGGGGGCTACGTACGCACGAGGTGACGAGAGTCCGTGCGTAGCTACTATTATATTTAAGTTCGGGTAGTCTAGGGATTATACGGGATACTTACTGAGTACACATTGCTCTTCTACTCATGCTACAGTTGCTGTGCATTTTTGTTGCACAGGCACATGTATTTCCAGTGGCCTACTGGGCGTAGCGGCATGGATGATACGGAGACTAGGTGAGTTGCATTTCCCAAGGCAACCCGCAGCTAATAGTCTCTTTTAGCGTATTGTATTTACCTTCTGTCCAATTTGTATTCCGAACAATTATTGTACCTTATTTGATTCCTTAGTAATTGCTCATGCACTTGTGACACCGTGTTCTAAGATGATTATGAGGTATTCTGTAATAACTTCTAAACCTTCTTTATTTATTTTATAAAGATTATCTTTTACTAGCCATTGAAAGAAAATCATAGTTTTCACAATTATTTAAATGAGAATTTAATTAAGTATTTATGGTTGGCTTGCCTAACAGCGATGTCCGGCGCTATCACGACCCTTAGTGGATTTTAGGTCGTGAAACTTATTATAGTTGTGTGCTACAACTGTGTAAATCTTCCTTGTATCGGATTAAATTTTTACATAGTAAAAGGTACAATCTCTACTGCTACAATTTATCTGTAGAGCTATGACAATATTTCATAACTTATAGCAAGCACTGGAGAAACTAAACAAGTCATAGATTTCAAATTATACCAATATATTACACCCTTCCCTGCAGTCTCATCAGCCAAGCCCACAGATTCAAATTATTTAATCTACTGAAAACAATATACTGTTAACTGAGGTTAGAATCTTGCAGACCCCAAATCATCGCTGAAGCTGCAGAATTCTCTGCATCTTTTACTCGCGACTTCTCCTCTCCCTTCACAAAAAGCAAGCCTTCAGCAATTGGAACTTGCACAGAACATATAAACCTCCTATCATGAGCCGGACCTATCTGTTTCTCTATTCTGCACCCGTTAGAAAGCAAATAATTAGGAAACAACATCACAGTATCATTACAGTTCAGCCGTGCTTACCCAGAACAAGAAACAGTTCGTCCCACCTGGTAGTTAGATACACAAACTCAAGAAAGAAATAAAATATCCCACGTGCAAAACACATATACACATCTTCGGAACTTATAATATGAAGAGTCAAATTTACTCAAAGAATTTAAACCTTGCACATCCAAAAGTAGTTGTAGAAACCAGTGGTGGAGCCACCTTAAGCTTAGGCGTGTCAATTGACACCCCTTCACCGAACAATTACACTATGTAGCTTAATCAAAATTTGTTATATATATATATGGTGGAGCCACCTTAAGCTTAGGCGTGTCAATTGACACCCCTTCACCGAACAATTACACTATGTAGCTTAATCAAAATTTGTTTATATATATATATATATATATATATATATATATATATATATACCATATGTTGAATCCCCCTAATCTCCTCGTGTGTTTCTTCTTTATATTTTGACATTCCTTTGAGAAATTTCTGGCTCCACCACTGGTAGAAACGACAATTATATAATTCATTTGTCTTTTGCCACTCCCAAAGTATATGTAGGCATTTCCTTAACCGATATATCCATTGCTTACAACTTAATTATTAACCGATATACACCATTGTTTACAGCTTACAAACTTGATGGATAACAGCCTACCCCTCTCCCTACTCCACTTAAATACCAGAGTTGGTTCACTAGCTATAATTCAAACTCGCGACATATGTCTATCACACATCCCCAGCTGTACTACCTTTGCCAGTAAACCAAAGTCCTAGAGGTTAGTTAGCATATATTCTTAGTTTCTTAGTATACCTAACATCCATTTTGGTCATACTTCATCAATTTTTTCCTTTATACTCTTGTATTAGATTACTACCAACCTATTGCACGCGATCAAATCTCAAAAACTGTTTCTACTATGAAAGAAAGACAGTTTCGCTGCTTGAAATTAAGCTGGGTTTGAACACGTGGAGACAATTGCCCATGCAAATTTCTTTAACTGAAATGACAAAGGAATATGCAGCCAAAAGAAGAAAATAGTAGTAAGATTCCCTATTGTCCAAGTATTTTCCATGTTATGCATGCTAACCTGAAAATTTAATGTAGTTTCCCTCGCTAAAGATCCAGTGTGCTACAGTAACAAGCAAAAAATTAATCTCAGTCAAAGGAAAAGTTTAAACCTGTAAGCTGGTATGGGCCATTTCTTTCTTCCACATAGCTCATGCAGCTTCTGCTTTGCTCCGTCAATCTCTGAATTTGGTTCAACTTCAGTTTCCGTCTTACCAGTAGATTTGTAAGCTAACTTTTGGAGTGCAGCCTTTGCTGCGTGAAGCTTAGCATTTTCTTTGTTCTCAGAAGAAGCTGAGATAATAAATTGACCATCGACATATATACTAGCTATGTCTTTCTCTCCTTTCCTCCAGTGCTTTATATCGACTTGTTTTCCATCCTTCTGACAAAGCTCATACAGCATGGTTACAGGCTGCGGTTGTTCTTCCAACAAGTCTAATGTGATAATAGGCTCGAGGAGGCCTCTGAATATCTAACACAAAAATGAGCTAAACTAATCAGAACATTGTGATATACTCTCTTATCTGCCAGACAAGAATGCAAGATTTCTAGGTCTAAAAGAAGCAATCTAATTGGCTCTCCAATAATACAAAACTGAAAAGACAGGAGAAACACAGCTTTCATGTGAACTTACCATTTTGCTTTTTCATTATCATGACAATTCAAATTTCAATAAGCAACTCCACCTTCTCTCTCACACACAACTTCAACACCTTGCTTAGTTAGGTCACATGAACTTATTTCATTGTAAACAGATCTAAAATGACATTTAGAGAAGGAATACTCAAAATTTATTTCATAGATATGAGCTTAAACACAGTGCGAAAGGCTTGCTACAGAGAACATTATATTTAAGGGTGATTTCTAAAAATAGCCAGATTTACATCTGGTCGTTCAAAAATAGCCCAATTTCAAAAGTAATCGAAATTTAGCCACTTTTTATGTAAAGATAAATCTGAGCGAAAACACTGTTCAAAACCCGGAAAATACTCCAGTATATTATGCTGGAATTCCAGCATAAGTATACTTGAACTCCAGCATATTATACTGGAGTTCCAGGATAGTATGCTGGAACTCCAGCATAATATGATGGAGTTCTAGCATAAATACATTAGAACTCCAGCATAATATACTGGAGTTCCAGCAAGTATAATGGTCCAGTATAATATACTGGAGTTTGGAGCACCATTGCTCCAGTCTCCAGTATATTATACTAGAGCCAGCAAAGTATACCGGTCCAGCATAATATGCTGGAGTTCATACACAAGTGCACCGAACTCCAGTATATTATGCTGGACCGGTCTCTATTGCAGCAAAACGGTGGCTATTTTTCATTGACTTGGTAAACGCTGACTATTTTTGATTGACCAGTCCGAAAACTGGCTATACCGTGAAATTTTGGCTATATTTAACACTGTGTATCCAGTTGTGTAACTTGTACTATACAAGATACCTTGATTTGCAACTTTCCAATAGCCAATAGGCCTGAACAATTCCTAAAGTTTTTAATTCCACACAATTACATTCTCATGATACAACCAAAATCCACGGGAAAAAAGAAACTGAAGTATGATCCACCAATATATCTAAACAGCCAGAAGAGAGACAACTGACCAGCCAGAGATTCTTCAGATCAAAGCCACAATCCACATATACAGCCGCCGCAACTGATTCCACAATGTCAGCAAGAACCTTCGGCGCCTTCATTGCTCCTCCATGGAACTCTGCTTGCTCTTCCTGTTGCACTGTTATTACGAATTCCTTCACCTATATCAAAATTTTAAATCCCTCAATTCAATATTCCCAAAAGAATTAACTTAATCAATTTAAGGCAACTAATAATTGGCCAAGAAAGCTAAATCTGATCATGCCACAAATAATATACAGAATGTATCTGCACAAAAAAAAAAAAAAAAATACTTTACCCTCAAGCCAATAAAACCACTGCTTTTGGCCTCAAAGAGTTAGAAGCCCCAAAATTATGTAAGCTTGAAATTGATTATATAGTCAATTGGAAACAAAAAGTTACAGAAAAATTGATTAGAAAGAAATAAATTTCAAATAACAATAATTTTATGAACAAGTTTAGTTTTGGGCCACCAATTCTATTGAGCTCACATATCTTTTTATTTTCCAGACGTACCTTTTCATCCAGGGCGGTAGCATTATGGCGGACATATTTATAGAGACCGTGGCGAACAGCAACTCTAGCAAGTTTCTCGGTGCTGATATTAGCAGCGCGGAGGAGAGAGAGTTGACCTGGGTCAAGTTCTGGGTATGCCAAATAAACATAATTGGTAATTGCTAAGCCAAGAGCAGCGTCACCAACGAACTCAAGGCGCTGATAAGAAATAGAATCAATGCAAGAAGAGTGCGTAAGGGCTTCTTCAAGAAGTTTTGGTTTAATGAATTTGTAATTCAAGATTTCCTCCACTGCCTTAACAGATGTCTCCATATCTGCCACCTCTTCATCCTCGTCGGCTATTAGAGTAGTTGGGCAACTCACTGTGACGCAAGATTCCGGCGACTGCATATTTTGATCAAAAGAGAGAGAGAGAGAGTTTCTTGGATTGATTTTTGAAGAATTTTGAACTTTGAAGGAGCGTGTTGTGGAAGATTGATGAGGTTACTGTCAGTACTTTACAAAGAAAAAGTGTTCTGAAACTGAGGGGGGAACAGGGTTTAGCGTCAGACCAAACGTTTGATTAGATTGTGTGTAAAGACTTTTAAGTAGGTGAGAATCTTGTACCAACTGTTACCTCTTCTAAATTTGTACTACCATATACGACAATTTTAATTTTACAATTTAAATATAAAATATAATTTATTAAACAAATCTTAAAGTTCATGATATTCAAAATTGAGTAATTAATAAAATGTAATGTGATTTGATTTTTTTTTTCTTTTTCAAAGTAATTTTTAATAATTATTTAGCATTTCTTCCCTAATTCCCTTACTATTTAATAATACTCTTTCCGTTTCATATTGTTTGAGCTAGTTTGACTCGGCACGGAGTTTAAGAAAAAAGAATGAAGACTTTTGAAAGTTGTGGTCTTAAAAGCTTAAGGGGTAAAAGGTTTGTGGGGCTATGCCATTTGTGTGGCTATAAAAGCTTCTCATTAAGGGCAAAAAGGGTCAAATGAAGAGTTTAGTGTATGAATTATTTTTAAATTTAGAAATGTGTCATTTATTTTGGAATAGACTAAAAAGGAAAGTAGCTCATGAAACGGAGGGAATATACAACTTAAATTCTATGTTGAAATTGTGCGTTGACATTATGTAAGACGAATCTTGCAATCAATATTAAATTAAAATCCCAACAGGAATTGGGTTTAACATTAAGGATTCTATAAGTTTTAAAATTTCAATACGCTACTAGTATAAATTTTAAAAATAAATATCTTCTCTGTTATAAATAAAATTGTATTTATGGTGAATGTCTATATTTAGGGAGATTCTAGAGTTTATTACTTGGAGGCTAAGTCACTCTCTCCCTATAAATAGAGGGGTTCTATTTAATTGTAATTCATCCCAAAGTTCAATAAGAATTCCCTGTCTCTGTTTCTCTGCAATATTGTTCTTCTACTTTTATTGTTTCATAACACGTTATCAGCACGAGACTCTACCATCTTAGATCACTTGTTGTAAAAAGATCTAAGTATAGTTAAGGTCTTGAAGTCTTCGTAGTCTCATTCCTTATAAATGAAACAGTGGCAGTAACAGGAAAAGGAAAAGAGGAAGATCAAGTGAAATTTCACAAAAACGATGGATTTGCAATCAGAAAAGTTTATGATAGATCATCGGCAACTGAGAATTACAGAGAGGGAGAACATGATGCTATTTTTAAAATCCCTAAACTCTGTGTTAGTATTTTCTCCCTTTTAGCCACTTCAATAATTACTCAACAGACGCAACTTAAATTTCTTCCCTTATTTTGATACACATGTAGCAACCTATTTGCGAGGATGTCACTTACGACACAAAAACTAGTTTAATACATACAACATTAAGAAGAAACGAATTTAAAAAGATATTTATAATACTTTAGCAGCGGAAATAGGCCTATGCGAACAAGTTTTTAAAAGTGCGACACTTTCTTTTTCATAATATACTTCACAAAATTTCTTAAATAAAATACAATATCAGATTATCAATTTAATGTGGTAGTACCCTTCTTGAATAATCAAACGTTGAAGTTAACTTCCTAATAAAATTATATTATTCATTCAGCATCACTGCAAGTTCATATTGTACATGAATTTCAAACTTCCTAATATCAAAAGAAAACTATTCATCTCTATTGTACATAATTACAAAACAAAATGTAATTTTAGTACACGACAGGACTTGAGTTATTAGCATACCCCAAAACAGCAAAACAAGTCACAAAGTTAAAGTTACAAGCTTATGGTCTAGTGGTCGAACAAGCCTCCAAAGTTTCATATAAAAGTGTAACATGTGTATCATGTACAACTCCCAAAACTATAAAAAAAAAAAAAAGCTACATTTGAAAATGTCATCTTCACTAACTATTTGTTTGGATGGTTGTTACCTATTGTATCGTATTGTATTGTTATCTCAAAACAATGTTTGTTTTGATTGTTTATTTAAAATTGATTGTATCGTATTGTTAAATCCATTGTTCTGGAACAACCAAAAGCACCATTTTATGAAACAACCGATTTGGTGTGGTGGAATCGTTTCCTATTTTCTTTTTCATTTATGCCCTTACTTATTATTTTATAATTCTATTTTATCATTTACTATTTTTTTTTACGGAAAAGGGTCAAATATATCCTTCTACTATTGGATATTGTTTAAAGTTGCCCTTCATTATACTATTTGATCGAATATACCCCTACCGCCTAACTATTAATCAAATATACCCTTAATTTAACGGAAGGGCCACGTGACAGGCTCTAAGTCATTTTGACCCCAACCCATTATCCACTCAATACCCATACCCATAAAACATAACCCAAATCGATTGACCTTTTGTTATCGGGTTATGGAAAATATCTACTTCTTTAGTTTTTTTCCCCTTAAATGTGTTGGTTTTTGTTATTAATAACAAGAGGTGTGAATGGAAAATGGTGGGAAAAGAAATGGAGGGAAGTGAAATTTTGAATTAGTTCACTTTACTAATGCACTTTGTCCGTCGTTGGAAGAAGAAAAGAAAATCTTTGTGTATATATATAGAAGCTTATTTTTAGCTCTTAAAGAGTTAAGAAGAAGGCAAGCCTCGCGCAGTCGTCGTCGTCGTTCGCTCGGCTTCGGCTTCGAATTGGGATTCGATCAAAGATTGATTGATTAATCTTTATGGACAAAATTCTATTCAATTAATTAAATTAATTAACGACAATTCAATCCGGAATAACCCATGACTCGCGACCCGGTTCGGTCCGGTCCGTTTTCTTTCCCGAATTATTTTAAATCCGTTTTTTAATTTTCAGAATCAGTGTCAAATGGTCTATAAATATGCCTTGAATCCCAGAATTTTTACTTACTAAAATTTTCTGATTATCTTCGTTTTCTTCTACACAATATCTTCCCGTATGTTTTACGACCATTGAGTGGTTCGCCGTCCACCGGAGTTTTTGGTACCAATACGCTGGTGAGTTAAATCGTTCTATCCTGGGAGAATAATATTCCAACACCTCGGGTACTTGAGGGGAATAATTTCCTTAAAGACACAAAGTGCATTCAGTGGGCTCGATTTATTCCTATATTGTTTTTTTTAAAATTTTTTTTGTTAAATAAAGAGTTAAGAAGAAGGCATGCCTCGTGCCGTCATCGTCGCTGCTCGCTCGGCTCGGCTCGGCTTCGGCTTCGGATTTGGATTTGGATTTGGATTTGAATTTTGGTCAAAGATCGATTGATTGATTAATTTTTTTGGACAAAATCTTTTCAATTAATTAATTAATTAAATTAATTAACGAAAATTCAATCCCGAATAACCCATGACCTGCGACCCAGTCCGGTCTGATCCGTTTTCTTTCTCGGATAATTTTAAATTCGTTTTTTAATTTTCTCGCAATATTTCCACCTGTTCCAACAACTATGGCTGTTCTGAATGGTTGCAAACCTTTTCAGAATCAGTGCCTAATGGTCTATAAATATGCCTTGAATCCCAGAATTTTTACTTACTAAAATTTTCTGATTATGTTCTTCTTCTTCTGCACAATATCTTCCAGTATGTTTTACGACCATTGAGTGCTTCGCCGTTGACCGGAGTTTTTGGTACCAATACACTGGTGAGTTAAATCGTTCTATCCTGGGAGGATAATATTCCAACACCTCTGGTACTTGAGGGGAATAATTTCCTTAAGGACACACTGTCCATTCAGTGGACTCGATTTATTCCTATACTATTTTTTCAAAATTTATTTTTGTTAAACTGGTTCTACTAACTTTCTGTTTCTGGTTTTATTTCAGAAAGTTTAATTTTTTATTGTTTTTACAACAATACAGTTTTAATAACAAAATGGACCCCACCTGCCCCTTTTTCCTCATCCATAACATAAGAAATAACCTAGGGAGTTCCTCATAAATCCTTTTCATTTTCGGACATTCATACAACACAAGAAAGTGGCACTCTATGACCAAAACTCCATCGACTCGACAAAGTTGCTGCTTTTAGATATTTCTTTGTTCCTATGTCGGCATTACCTATATAATCATACCTTAAATCTCTCTTATTGACCACTGTTTTATCGCCAGTCTTTTGGAAATTTTCTCTCTTTGATTCATAAGAATCTAATCTTTATATTATTTTGAAAAAAATCATATGAACCATTTTAATAAAAACCCAAATTATTCCTCAAAATTTAATCTTTCCTCAACTTCTCATCCTCTTGAGTCAGAATCTGATACATTACCACCAGACAATAATACTACTATGGACCCTGAATTTGCTGTGTTTTACCAATTTCAATGACCCCATATTTTTCTTTTATCAATCTTGTTTATTTTTCAATTGAACATTCAGTTGGGGAAGAATTGAGTGTGCCACAGTCTATGGAGTGTAATCGGAGTTTGTTATTTTTGGCGTCATGCCATTGATGAGAATCGTCTCTATGCGGAAGGAAAGAAGAAAGAGTGAGGAGAATGTTGATTTTGAGAGTGAGAAATGAGAAAAGAGATTATGGAGGGAATGGATGGTGGACATTATGTGAAAATAAAGAGAAAGAAATGAAGGTCTAGGTATTTAGGTGTCATGAAGGGTCTGTTTATAGGTTATGGATATTGGATATTGACCATGGTTAGTGGGTTGGGGCTAAAATGGCTTAGAAGCTGCCACGTGGCTCCTCCATCAAATTAAGGGTATATTTGATTAATAGTTAAACGGTAGGGGTATATTCTATCAAATAGTATAAGGGGGGATAATTTTAAACAATATTCAATAGTATAGGGATATATTTGATCCTTTTCCTTTTTTTTTTTATTTTAACTCCAAATCTCCAACCTATTAACCTACTTTGTCTTCTTCAATCTTTTTTAGAGTTGGTTTGCCCTATTCTTTTATCTAAGTCTCCATTCGATTCTTTGTCTCTTTCCATCATTTTATTTTTTGTTACCGCTGATTCTCAGATGGGATTCCCTACAAGCCAAAGAATTCTCAGGCATTTTCAGACAACTAAAAGATCAACTCCAGATCAGGGCTAACGGGATAACCTTTAAGAAGCAGTTCAAACCATATTCTGAAATTTCAGCTTGCCCAA